TTTATTTTTTTTCTCATTTCTTTTTATTTGATGGTCAGCATGCCCTTGCTTGGATCTTTTTCTTTTTGTGCTCCTTGCTTCACTTGCATCCTCTTTCCTCTTCTTGTGTTAATAATACCTCCTTTAAAGTATCCAAATCCTCCTCGAAAAAATCCAAATTCTTCCTTCATCTTTGGCTCGACTAGACAGAGTTTAGAAAGTGTGTGCCCTAGAGAGGATAAAGAGAGTGACTGTAATGTGGTTTAATGTGGAGAGAGAGACGAGAGACGACCAAAATTTACAATTAGTAGTCTTGGGTTTGGCCATGATTCAATAGAGTTTTATTGAATTTTTGAGTGATTTAATGGTTGAAATTCTAGGTGCAAACTAGTGTGGTAGTGTTTTTGGAAATCTAATACGAAGAATAAACATGATAATTGATAAGAGCCATTCCATTATAATTTGCATGAGCCAAGTTATCAAATATGATAATCATCTTTGACAACCTCGTTCACTTATTTAGATAAAGCTTCTTCTGATCAGATAAATCATTCAAATACATTTTTTCTTTTTTTCTTAAGTGACCATACCCTTGGATTTTTTGAGAAAAAATATTTGATTTAAGTTTGAAATACTTCAATCCCTTCTTTTGGATGTAGCCTTTAATTCTTCTCAAGTCGAGTTGGATATACACATAGGGTTCTCTTTTTTTTTTTTTTTTTTAAACATGTTCCAATTTAGACCTATAAACTATATGCGTAGTTAAATTTAAATGAATGGTGACGTGATGAGCATGCTCATATGTATTGTGTTCAACCATGAATAATAGCACAACTTGCTGGAAGAATTATTCATGTGTGGATCCTTGTAGCCTACATACATGTTAGTTCTTGGTTTGTCATTTGTCAAGGGATGAAAATTAGGACATGACATTCTTATGATCTCATCAATTAAATAATAATAGTGGTGAGGCTCTAAGATTATTTTCCAAAGTTCTTTTTTTAACGTTCAGATGAAAATATGTTTGTTGTTCTTAATTGGAAATAGAGTTGTTGGTATTATGAATTGTGCTGTATGTGAATTGGCCCAAAGAAGATGTATTGATGATAGAAATATGGAGACTATAGAGATTACACTTTAAGGAGAGATGCTTGAATGATAAAACTAAAACCAATGATTGTAGGTTTTCCCAAATTAAGAGAACCTCCATTGAGTTGGTTTGCTCCTTTGCTCTTGCTTAGCTGTATTCCTTATACTTGCTGCTTCACAAGCCTCCTTTTTCTTCTTACCTTTATAATGCCTCCTTGAAAGCTTCTTCTTCCTTCTAGAATGCACCCAAGCCCTTCCTTCTTCATCTTGACTCAGCTAGATGGATTATTGGTTGTATGCGTGCCTTAGAGAGGGGAGTGTATGGTATGGTTTAATCTGGAGAGTACCTTGACATGGCCAAAATTTGCAATTAGAGGTCTAGGCGGTCTAGGGTTTGGCCTTGATTCAGTGGAGTTGCATTGAATTTTTTAAGGGAAATTTACATTAGCAGCACACAATTCTTATGTACTTGCATAACACCTAATCTTTCATATTTACAAATCTTTCATATTTACAAACATAGCACTTTGATGTTTTAAACCTATGCATGAAAAGCTGTATTTCACTTCTAACAGTTCTATTTTTTATGTGATATTAAAGATTTGAGCTGTATGTGTAAATATGAAGTTTTGGTGTGAGATATGTAAATACATAATAATTGTGTGCTATGTATGTAAATATCCCATTTTTTAAATAATTGAATGCTTGAAATTTGTAGATGCAAACTAGTTTGTATAGAAAACCAAATACAAAGAATAAAGATGATAATTGATAAGAGTGATTCCCTTTTCACGTGCATAACCTAAGTTATTAGATATGATAATTGTCTTTATCTTGATAACCTCATTCACTTTTTTGGATAAAGTTTATCTTGATTTGGATTAACCAGTTAATTACAGTTATCTCCTGTCCTTTTCCTCAACTGACCAACTCCCTTGGACTACAGAGAAAATATTGGATTTAAAATCTAACTCATTCAATTTCTCCTTCCTTTGGATGTAGCCCTTCATGTAGCCTTTGCCATTTATGCTTCTTTAGTCGAGTTGGGTATGCAAATCACATTTAGAGTTTTTTTTTTTGAAGCTTGTTCCCGTTCAAACTTAATACCATATGTGCATAGTAGAATATAATTGAACAAATCACACAAATACAACTACAAGAGCACACAAGCTATCAAGAATATGGAGTTGAGATAATTTAAGTTGTGTATGATTGATATAACTTTTAGGATAGGATGGATAAGCTACTCGATCACAATAGTTAAAAAACATACATGTATATCAAACATCAATATAAACATGATATATGAGGGTGATTATGTGATAATATGTTAACAACAGATCATTCTGAACTATGGTATAATATTAAGGATTCATTCAACCGAACTTAGCATAAAGGCTTGTAACCATACAAATCTTCACGTTGTCATGAAGATAATTATCTTATTTGTCAATGATGAATTGTGCACTATATCGAAAAAGTTTTATGGAGCCCTAATATTTATAGTAGCACTCTCTATTTCAATCATGAAATAAAATATTTGAAAAAAAATGAATGAAAATGTATATATATATATATATATATATAGATGAACTTGTATGGATTTAATGAATTAAATAAGAAGACGATTATGTTAAAATTTATGGTGGATTGCAGTGAAAGGTCCATATGAGGCAACTTTTTTACTGCTTTATTGTGTAGATTGTTTCTTGTCGGCTACTACTAAGCTACTTTTCAAAATTTTATGAGCTCAGAAAAAATCCTTTAAAATTATATCTTCTAGAATGTGGTAGTTATTTGATTTTTGCAAAAGAAAGATTTATAATCACTACAATGGCTTTCAGAAAACCACTTTCCTCATAGTGGCTCTACAATTTTTTTTTCCAATTTTAGCCGTTTTGAACATACCTTAAATACTTCATGAATTTATGTTAGCCAATTACACCTCGTTTATGGATTCAATAGTGAATCTTATGAAGATTTTGTGATCGGCCTTCTGTATGACTTCAGTGAAAAATTTCCTATATTTTTATTTTTGACACTATCTTTTGTGGGTAAAGGAAATTAAATATTTTTTTATTATAAAAGGGATCTTTAGCTTGTACAGGCCTCATTTTTATTTGATTCACAATTAAGTTTTCTTAAATAATATCTTGTTTGGATGTTAAGTTCTAAGCTACTTGTTTGTTAAGTTGGAGACCAAAGATTTTTGCAAGAGGCTTACTTCTTATACAACTAGAATGCTTGATTTGGTGACTTATTTCTACCTAATTTCCTTTTCTTTTCTTTTTTTCCTTTTTTTTTTTGCATGCATGGGTGAATGAATCTATTCTTGTTTGATACAAAATGATTTTGCATCAATGCATGATTTTCAATTAATATTATGCTTCATCATGGCTTCAAATTTTTCTAAAATGTTAGTTTTTAATTATTGGTTTATGATCTACTTAATTTTCATCTTTGTTTCATTTACATTGAAAGTAATGATCATTTAAAATGAGGAGTGTGTGTGAATTTTTAATTTATTTGTATTTGTGTATCATTAGCAAAACTTGGACTCTTAAGATATTTTACATAAGTAGTTGCCGATTTCATTTTGAAGTAGACGGATTGTCTAAAAGTTAAACAATTAAGTTTGGATAGTCGATCTTAAGTTCAGGATATACTTATTCGTTTTATAGTGGTTTGTAGCCATCCAACTAATGTGATTGTTCCAATACAGTAACTCTTATTCAATTGTAGCTATATTAAATACCTATTGTAGCCATCCAACTACCTCTCTTAGTTTATTTCTTCTTCTTCTTCTTTTTGTGTTCTTGGATCTGGCATTTCCGCCCCTCTTTGCTTCATTCATCTTCTTGTCCTTTTTACCATGATGTCACTTTCTTGAAAGTTTCTCCCTCCTAGAATGCAGTAGAATTCTTTTTACTTTTTTAGCTCATTTAGAGAAATGTTAAATAAGTAGGGTTTCTTAGGAAAAAAAAAATGATAGAGAGATTGATAGACAGACATAGAGTTGTGTGCCTCAGTTTGGAGAGAGAGTGCCTTGGCTTGGCCAAATACTGCAAACATAGGCTGAGAGCCTGAGAGTTTGGTTAACTTGAGAGTGGGGAGAGGATGAGACTTTCATTGATTTCATGAATTGATTTAGTGCTTGAAACTCGAGATACAAACTAGTATTTATAGCAAATCAATTAAAAAAGATAACCATGATAATTAATAAAAGCCATTCCTTTTTCATGAGCATGAAGTAAGTTAACAGATAGGATCCTTTTTTTTATCCTGATCACTTCCCTTATTTAGACAATGGCCTATCTGGATAAATTCTAGTCAAGTGTATTTCTCTCTCCTTTCTTGAAATGGCGACTCCTTGGATTGTGACTCCTAAATCTTGGAATTAATTTCAAGCTCCTTAAATTTCTCAATTTTTAGATAGCTCCTCTTATAGTCTTCTTGTAGCCTTATACGGTTCATGCACCTAATCTGGCAGTTGGGCCTTACCAATATACATTATGGCTTAAGTTTAGGTGTAACTTCCAACATGAATTTGAGCTTGAGTTTGGGTCTAATATGGTTGAGTTTGCTAGCCCAAATCTTGATCCACCCATGTGGTTTGGCTACTTTGTTGGCTAAACCAAAATTGCATTGAAGAGCCTTTTGGAGTTCTTGGAGGTTTCTTTTTTACATTTATTTACAAGTCATTCAAAAGCATTTTATTATATGTAATTTTTCCATATTGTGCTTTGAATATTATCAAAACTTCATGCCATGCATTCAAAACGTGGGGTGAGCTATTTTTTCCCCATTTTCCCTCCAAATGCGTAGGTATGAAGTATCTCCAATGGAAATTGTGACTTTAAAACTCCCAACTCCAAATATGTAGGATAAAATTAATGATGATGAAGGCAATAGTATTCTAGACCTTGAAGCACTTTATAGAAGACACTTCCATTCTTTTCCTCTTGTATACCTTGCAAGTTACAAAAGATGGATTACTCACAGTAGTAGATTGAAAGCTGATTCTTGTTGTACATAAGACTTAATTGTTGTCCCATTCACAAAAAATAAAATGAAAATAAAAACACCGACACAACCGAGTTTATGGTGAATTTGAGAGGTGCTGCATTCTTAGAAGAAGATGAAGTTGTTTATCATTAGGCTTGCACTAGCGTAGGCATTTAGTATTTCGTTATGTGGAGACCAGAACTCTGCTCTCAGACCAATTCTCCTCACAGCTTTGAGGATCTTGTTCCTGTTGGCATATCCTGTCACAACCACCTTTTGAATGCTACCATCCACCTCAACCTTCTCAATTCCTGTGAGTTATACAATTAATATCGGACCAGAAATAGAAGCTTCTAGAAGCTTAAATAGTTTCAGAGTAGACTTAATTTTACCTTTTAATTTGGATAGACATCTCCTTAGTCTCTTCTCATGTATAGCTACCATCTCCACCTTCAGTTCAATGCTCTGCAATCCAAGTTCTTATAAATCCGTTATATGAAAAGAATAATGTTTTGTTTCAGAGATGAATAATATTTAGATGATCATTTGTTCAGAGACTGCATTCTGTAAATTAATCCTTTGATTTGTGACTATAGGTGATGAACAATTAGGCAAACTATCTTGTGTGTGTTTGTGCGCAAGCGCTTCTTTTTTACTTTTAAATCAATTTGGTTGATCTGATTATTAAGAAAATTGGTTTTGATACCATTTGGATTTAATATAGCCCTGTGTTTTGGTGAAATCTGTTTTGCAGCAGAAGGGGAAGAGAGAGCTTCGGCAAGTATTGTAGCAGAGTAGGGGGTCCTAAGTTAAGGGAGGAATTGGAGAAATCAAAATAATGATTTGATTGATACTAAACCCAAAGGATTTGGTAGCTACAATCTATTCGAATCTGATAATAAATAGGCCAACTTGGCCTTTGTTACGAATCTGGAATAGACTTGTGGAAATCTAATGATCCTGTTAATCAATTTCATACACGTATATTTTGGACATCTGCTAAATTATTTGTCCGTAGGAAGGAAAAACGGATTGAACTTAATCACATAGTAGTGCAAAAAAATTTACATAAAACAATTAAACTCCTTGTATCACTTAAAAATACATTCTAAATCCTAAACTAATAACCATTAATCAAATCCAGCCCTGGACAAAAGCATATATTACCTCCATGCGAAGCCAAACTCCTGAATCGGTTTGCTGAAGTTGTGATGACCTGACAAGAAAAAAATGGCATGAAACTATAGCCGATATCTTCACATGTATATTTATATAGAGAAAGAGAGAAGAAAAAGAGATTCTGATGAAGCAAATTGGGTTTAAGAATCCTGTTGGAGTAGAAATAAGGAGGGGATCTTCTTTGTTGCTTTAGCTAAAGGAGGACAAGGTGGCAAGCAGGACCATAAACCAAAGGAACGCTTTGATCGAGGTGTTATGCTTTGGAGAACCTCAAGGTTTAGCGCTTTGCCCTCATGCAAAGCAAGTAAAATCAATGGTGGTGACGGGGTTTCAGAGCACGTTTTTGGCCGTAGGTTGGCTTTTGTGATCTTTGATGGTTAGGAAATGTACCAATGCTGCCTGTTTATAGTTACTTTTTTTAATAGAAATATTTGGTGTCAAGGCTCATAATCTTATGTATTTGCATATAAAATTTAATATCTTTTATCTACAAGCAGAACACTCAAATCCTTAACATCACATAAAACATAGCACTATTATGTACTTCTTAAAAGTGAAATACATCCTCTTATGCATAAGTTCATGACATCAGAGTGTTAGAAATGTAAATATCAATGTTAAAAGTTGTTAAATATGTAAAATTGCAACTACCTAACAATGGTGTGGTATGTATGTAAACTTGCCTAAAAAATAAGATTCATACTATTATTATAAGTAAAAGAGAAAAAAAAAGAAAAAAATAATAAAGGGTATAAAGATAAAAGAGAGCTTGGGTAACCCACCCTGATTACAACTAAGACGACCATGATTGAAGTTTGGTGTTTTCTTAGGGCATATTTAACCGTCATCTTCTCTCTTTTCCATCCATGCAAAAAAATAAAATGAATGGGTAGGGTCCTACTCTGGCTTGAAGGAGACTTAAGCTTTGCAGATAAGAGTAATGCTTTTTAGACCATTCCATTCAACACAACTTAATCTTACATGCTTTAATTAAAAAGAAACATATTAGTGTATGACCTTTTTTATTCACATCATTTGTGCATGCAAAAGATGCTTCACACGTCATTTCTTAAGCATTATTTATATAGAAAAATATCTAGGATACCTGCTACGTTAAATATTACGTTTATGATGATAAATTAAAAAAAAAATGAATGTTTTCTTTGACAAAAAAAGGTATCTGTTTATTTATATATCTAAAGTGAATGTTGAAGTTGAATGATATTTATTTATTTAATAGTTATATCTAATGCTTATTATCTTATAAAATATAAAAGAGCATAAAATACTTTATATTGATTTAGTTTTGTTAGAAGTTTTGTTTTGACTAAAATTTAGGAAGATTACGTGGCTAAGCGGTGGCGGTCATGTCAATACATAAATTCATGAAGGTAAGCCCGCCCATAATTAGGAGAAATTGATGGGGATTTGATAGCAGCTTTAAGATGAGGATTACACGTAAAATTCTTCTTCTCGTTTGCTGGTCAATGATGATCAATTTTTGTCAAGAGTTTATAGCTCTGTTGGTGTCGCTGTAGAATAGAGATGCTTCATTACTCGGCCCCTCCTCTCGATGGTTCCACTATGTGATGAAGCGGATAACGGCATGCTTTAAGGATTTTGATAAAGCCCTTTATTAAGGGCCATTTACATGCACGCCACCCAATTCTTATTACGATGGTGGAATTAAAATTTAGAAAGGGAGATGGCGAATTAAGGGTCTTTTTGGGGCACACATTACAGTTTTGTTTGTTTGGGTAAGCCGTGTTTTGACCGTTTCTTTAAAAAAACCTAGTGAAATATATATTTTCTCATCACTTTATCTAAGTCTGGTGGCTGATTTCTAGATGTTTGACTTTTAAAAAAAAATTGTAATAGCTATCGCAATTTTTTTGAGCATTAGATTATTATTCAGCAGTTTCATTGTTGTTTTTAATAAACTTTTTTAAATAGTAGTAAATATTTAAATTATAAATTGTCTCTTTTAAATTTTTTTTTAAAAAAACTGTAAATATAATTAATAATAAATTATTATTAAATTTATGGGGGTAAAATTTTTAATGTATTATAAAATATTGAAGGGTTTAGTAAAAACTTAGGGTTCCACCACTGCATAATATTTACATATATATTGCTTAACTTTTGTCTTTTTACATTTATGCCATCCAAATATTTCATATCATGACAATTATTTCACCGTTCTAACTTTTGAGAAAGTAAAGTACGCTTTCATTAAGGTGTTATGTGAAAATTGAAATTTAGGTGGTAGGTAATTTTTTTTTATTTTCTTATGTACAGCTAACTTTAAATCAAATTTACGGGTTTTTTTTCTTTCTTAGAATTCATCATTTTATTTTAAACCAATAATCAATGTGATACCATCCAGTATTTGTTTTTTTAGGCAATTGCCCACATAGCACTCAAAATTTTGCTAGTTACAAAGCTAGAACCCATTTTCATCCGTTTTTTTTTGTTTTTTAAATCTCACTCAATGATTATAATTCACAGTAAAATCCTTACACATCAATTTCCAAATGTTGATCGTGGCATACGGTGTTAGTTTTGTAAATTAAGAAAATATGGTTGTGTTAGTTTTGTCAATAGCAAAGTTTCAAGTGCTATGCATATGATTATATGATGTCGTTGTTGTAAATTACTCATCAATCAGATAAGTATACATTTCGCTCAAATATTATATGATTCTTTGTGTCTATATATCGAGAAAAAATTGCATACGAAGACCTTAGGTAGAGAAGAAAATTGCATCCAATCACAGCCATCTGTTTTCTATTTTTTTTTTTAATTAAAAAAATAATAAAAATGGGACTCACTATCATACAGGTCTTGTTGGATGAGTTTTGATATATGGCTCTGATGGATGAACGCACGCATCTCTGCATACCCTCTTTGTTTTAAATTTTTTTTTTCTATATATCAATTCCACTAAATCTCCTCTCACATGCTCCCATTGAAATCGCTCACTTCACTCTCCCATAATGATTGGGTACGCGGGGGCCTCCGCTGATGGAATACAAGTTTTTTAATGCCTACGAAGCGCCACATGGACACGAAACCGTTGAAACTTACGTATGTCGATTTGGAGCGCCGGGTTTCTGCATTGGAGCGCTGGGGTTTTTTCCGCTCGTTCTGTCTCTATTGGCATAAGGGTACAAGAGGCGAGAGCCAAGTTTTTTTATAGGGGCGATGCCGACATCAAATTCAGGCACAAAATAAGCGCGTTTTTGGGAGACGCCCTACACATCCCTGCCTTATTCTAATAGCTAGGAGTGCAGCAATCACATAACCTCATACGTTATCTTCACGGATAACCTCATAAACTCGGAGCTGGATGTTGCTTACTCGCGATGGGGAATTATCAACCATTGGCTTTGTTCAACCTGATTTGCCAGGAGGTGGTGTTCCACATCAATGGCTGCTATTTTTGTTCGAGCTATCTGAGCACGTGGTGTTTGACGTCAATGGTCTTGGGGGGGGGGGGTATCTGTTGCGTACTTGCGTTCCTATATTTTAAAAATAAAATGAAAATGAAATAAGTTGGGACTTTATCATGGGAAAAAATAAAAGGAAAAGTCATGGATGTCCTCAATTTGATAGATGTGAAGAAAAAGTATTAGGTGAGTCCAATAGTGGGACGTCATGTGTCAAGTGGATCTCATAAAATTTGAAAATAATCAATAATCAATCCAAGTGTATTGCAGTGGGCCCACTTGACACGTGCGTCTCACCATTGGACTCCGGACACAAACTACGTCTGGAGTCTGGATGTAATATTTGCTTGATGTTAAGGGACTTACTCCCGTGTCCATGTTCGGTGCCAAATCCATCTCCATCACATCTAATCCCAAGTTCACAAGTTCACAAGAATTGTTTTTGAAAGATTTACATGCCGCTGAATTCTCATATATTTACATATTCAACACAAATTTAAATTATATATTATATATATATTTGTGTGTTGCGAGTAGTAATTTTTGTTTTTGCTTAAATTTGTAGCATATTGATTGAAAACAAAATTAAAAATTTTAAAATATCAGTTAGAATGATTATCCATCAATAGTAATAGTAGTAGTAATAATAATAATAATAATAAAATTTTTCCCTTTTAAATTTTTGTCATTTGTTAGTGTCAAAATTATGGCAAATGTTTTGGGGTCATTGCTTATTAAATTTTTATTTAAGATTGTCTTTAAAAATATTAAAAAATATAATTCAATTTTAAATTAACTTTCTCTATTATTTTCACTTTTAATTAAATTGATTATTTTGACCAAAATTTTTTTGTTTGATTTCAATATGATTGTTCTCCTTATGCAGGACATCATTTTTTATTTCCGGAAACAAACAAAGAGAAGAAAAAAAATATTATAAACATTCGACAGCCAAAAAATTTCTCTGCATTTTATTTTTCGGTCAATGCAATTTCAGAAACATCAAATTTATTCGTCCGAACAGATTTATTGAACATCTAGCACCACCAATTACTCCCATAAAATCACAAAAAAAATTTTAAATTATACATGAAAATAAATGTGTATGCATTTTTAGTGAAACATTATTCATATTTTTATAAAATCGAACATACATTATAAGTCCAGTTTTTCTTCTTTAAACCAAAATCGACATAATAAAGGCATGGCATTTCAATTTCATACGTTTCTATGAAAATAAACTGATTTTCTTGTGGGAAGGATCTGTCGCTCAATGGTCGCATCTTCGACCGAGTGAAAGGAGACATTATCTCCAAAAAACAAATTGAGTTTAGTCACTCGAATCATTCTTAACTTAAGCTTGGTTAATTAACTATATTTGAAGCTTGAACTTAATTCTATGAATTGGTCAGCATGCTTAACTTGAAAGAGAAAAAAATATTAATTTAATCTAATATTATAATTCAATGACAAATAAAATGAATATTTAAGAGATAGAAAATAAGAAATTATTTGATATAAAATTTTAAATATTAATTTTAAAATATTTTTAATAATTTAAAACAAAATTCTTCAATTTTAATATAGTTTAAATATATTTTTATTGATTATTTAAAAAAAAAACAACTCACAAGCTAATGAGTTGGCTTGACACTAACTTAAGCTTAGCTTGTAGCTCATCAAGCTTGGTTCACGAGCCACTTATCAAGTCAAGCCCGAACTGGCTCATGAGTCAGCTTGGCTCACTTACACCTCACTACTCCAAAGCCATAAATTTATTCACATTTCATGATTTATCAAAGTCCATTTCAAGACATTATCAAATTTGGGCGTAACATTTCTTTTTCAAAAATTTATAATAAAACAAATACACCGACACAATAGGATCATATATTATTTGACAACTTAAGACGAAAACATCTAAAACGCTTTCAACACAAGCAACCAAGACAAATTTTACAGATAAGCAATGTTGGATTTCATGGAACCAGATTTCTTTCAAGGCTTAAAGGGTTTTTTTTGGAAAAATTAAAAAAAAAAAAAAAAAATCATAACAAGATCAATCACCTCCATATGGAATAAGAAAACCATGCAACCAAACAAAATGCAAATAAATAATCACTAAAAGTAAACTGAAAACAAAAAAAAAAAAAAAAATCCTCACTAAACCCAAAAATATGTATGTTATATTCACACTTCTTCACAACTGATCTACTAAAACTCAACTTCATTGGAAAATTGGTGTCACCAAACCTTATGGCTAATTGTAAAAAATCAATTCGTTACAAACCAAGAATTAAGTAGAAGAAAAGAGAAGAATGTCTACTAGCATCTGTCAGCTTGGGCCACTGATCTCTCCCTGTCTGGTAGAAGGCTGTCCCATGGAACTAGAGAAATTGTGCTGTCGGAGTGACTTCGAGATCCCTTGATTCGAATATCATCAAACTCATCATCACTTTCGATACTGCATTCCATGGCTGAAATTTGCTCAAACATGCTGTGATCGATTGTGCCGTCGCGGAATACATAGATGCCGTCATCATCAATTTCACATCCCTTCATCGGACGGTAGGCCTTCTCGAAAACCCGATCTTGGAGGCGGGTGAGAGGCATAGCCCTAAGATGATAATGAGCACAAGTAGAGGAAAGAGCTCATTAATAAAATTCATGTGGAAGTAAATTCTGAACCCGTTCAAACTACAGAAAAGAAATAAAGGAGTTTCTCACTCCTAAATTTTGCTCGCTTATGATTGACAGAACATAAATATATGGGATCCATAAATTATGTGGAGTGTACCCTTTATCCCAATAGAATCACTGGTTTATCGACCTTTGTTTTAGTTTAGATAGAGGCAAGCTAAACATTCATATTGACTAGTCCCTGCATATCATATGATAGTTACAAAAAACAAGCATGTAACACCTTTCATTGTGATCAATCAGATGTGAAATATCAGGTCTGTTGGAGTGAATTGGCACTAATTTAGAACACTTTTCATTGTGTCCAACTTGATCAACTATGGTTTTGGATGGGCTGTAATTTTACTTTTTACATTTACAGCACCCAAACTTTCATATCACATCAAAAGAACCATAATTTAAATTTTTAAAAAAGTGAAATACACCTTTTCAAGCACAGGTAAGATGTTATGTATGACAATAGCAAAGTATAGATATTAGATATGAAAATACATAGGAATAAAGTGGTATGTATGTAAATCTTCCAAAAAAATACAGAAACTTAGTTTCATGTCGATTTTAATAGCGAAAAATACCTTTAGAGCTACACATATATCCAAAATTTTCATCAATAAGCACATTCCTAATTGAGGGAACTCATAATCAAGTCTTTCAGTATCTCTACATAGCAACACATGAAAGCTCTTCAAAAGTAAACCACCTTGAAACAAATCAAGCAATCGAGCTAAAAATTCTTCTAAACTCACATTTGCTTTTTTATACACTGCCGCGATCTAATCAATCAAAATATTTTTATTCTGTTTTTTTCAGAATTGCTTCTTGATTTTACAAATCAGGATAGACCCTACAACAAAGTAAAAAAAAGGCACAAAAATATTACAAGCATAAAGATGTGAACTTTACTCAAAGAATAAATATCACTCAAATCTTGGACTAATTTTTTATTTAGATTGAGCTAAATAGCAAGCCAGATTCAAATAGAATTAAGCTTGAATTGAGTTGAGCCTGAATCAAATCAAGAGAGCTCTAAATGTTTAATACTTCTATGCCTGTAGTCATATTTATATCTATGCATCTATACTCATGCACCTACACATGATGGGTGTACATATGTAAATTGAACCAAAAGTTACAAAGGGAATTTAAACACGTAGCACTCAATTCTTATGCATTTACATATCTAACACCTATACTTTGCTTTTTTACATTTAGACCGCCGAAAGGTTTCATATCACATAAATACCACTATTTTAACTTTAAAAAAATGAAACACACCTTCTCATGAATAGCTAAGGTGGCATATATGTAAAAATTGAAGTTTAGGTGTTAGATATGTAAATACATAAGAATTTGAGTGGTATGTATAAAAATCTTCCTTATATTTTTCCTGGATTGATAAAACACCTAAACTTTGCTTTTTTTTACATTTATCCCACCCAAATGTTTCATATCACACAAAAAATACCACTATTTTAACTTAAAAAAATGAAATACAAGGTGGCATATATGTAAAAATTCTAATTTAGGTGTTAGATATGTAAATACATAAGAATTGATTAGTATGTATGAAAATCTTCCTTATATTTTTCTTGGATGGATAAAATTAGATTGAAAGTGAACAGATATTTGACTTATATGCAGCTAGAGTCAAAATTAATGAGTAAATCCTAGCTAAAATCAACAATAATGAGTCAATATCGCCTCAATTTAAGTTTAAATCCCGCAAAGCCAATAGCTAGACCTAGTTTTGCTTGAGATAGAAGATAAAATGGTTCAGAAAATCTCGAACAAAAGTCAGATTGAGTTAACAATACATATAACTCACAATCCTGGATCGAGTTATCAATGTATAACTCACAATCATAAACTAAACTCCATAAATTCAATAACTTATTTTCAAAAAATAAATAAACATCTAATAATAATTATATGGTAGTTCTACATGCACCTACTAAGTACAACACAGAGTGTACATAAGAACCTTATTTTAGCATCAAAATCAAATACACAAACAATCCTTCCCTTTTTTGGCTCAAAATTTCTTTTTATTCTTCATTGGTAGATTCTAAAAATAATCTCGATCAAGATTGAAGTAGTCAAATAATTCTCCACACCTTCGAATGCAACCAATATCCTAAATTCTGTGATTCTTCAAAAACTTGCATACACATCCAGTCAGGCCCAACTGGTTACATTGAAGTAGGAAATTATAAGTTGCAAAACAAAGGAATTCCATAGATTCATTATTAAATTGGATGTAATTAAAAATCAAAATTAATTTTCAACATCAAAATCCTCTTTAAATCCCATCAAATGTAATGCTTTTTTCCCACACATGCTACAAATATAAATAAAATCATCATTTTTTTTATTTTTCAAGCACCCCAGTAAGACAATTCATCACCCATAAAAAATATTCAAATATAAAACTTATGTTGATTTAATGAGCAAGCATAAAAAAAAAGATTTCTTTGCATACATGTTACCTAATGTTTTAAAACATATTAACACTCTTAATTTTCCATATATATCCCAATACCACACCAATCTACTCCATTTTATATCAACCATAATCTACTATGATTAGATAAATCATAATGCACATGTAACAAGCGTTCATGGCTCCTTCGTACGTTCATAGCACTATTTGACTATGTCTGGTACAATGACCGCCCACCTTGGTTTCATCATGGCTCGATAACAGACCCTACATTAGCCGGACAACATTGATGACTTGCGACTATGACAAGCACCAAAGGGGGAAGAGGGACCGACTCCATGTGAGAGTTAAATATACAGTGAATTTAATCAGAGTGACAATTTGTTAATTTAATAAATTTAAAAGATCAAAGTTTTCTCTAAAAATCCCAAAAATAAAATGCATGCACATTTATATATATAAATATATGAGAAGAACTTATTTATAAATTTATAAACATTTAAAACAAATAACTCAAGAAATATTCAGTCGGAAAAGAAGAAAAATAATTAGTCAAAAGTCATTTTGGACTACAGTAAGAGTCCTGCGGTCCGACAGTGTGGAAAAGGTGTTTTTTCACAAAGAAAAAAAAAAACTGTGTTTTTCAAAGTTGTATATTTGAGCACATTATTAAGAAAAAAATTCAAGTAAAAGCAGTTATAAGAATTTCTACAAATATTTATTAAATTATTACTGAAAAGAATTTTTTTTTTTAGGTTTTTTGGGATTATAACATATATAAATTTTTCAATAAAAAAAGGATATTTCTCGTAAAAAATAGGAAAAATAACTTCATAAAATTGTTCTTGAGCGCAAAGCACGTTGTTTGGAAAAATAAAATAAAAAAAAAAATCCCTAGTTATCTAATTAAAACTCAAAAAAAAAAAAAAAAAAAAAAAAAAAAACTTCGCAAAATTGTGACCAGCTATCTGATTATTCAAAAGCTGGCCCAAACGGACCAATTTTCTTAGGGAGCAGGACGCGGTTACACCCCCGCCGCCCGAATAGAAGCGAAAAGTATGCAATTCACATCATGAACCTGTAATTAACCTAAAAGCTATGACCTTTTTCCAGCTCATTCAACAACAGGGACCGAACCAGTTTGAAATAAATGGCACCCTCCGTAAATACAACCAATGACAGTGTCAATTTCCCCAAAATCCAACAGCCTGCCAGCCGTCCATGATCAAACAAAAAAAAAAAAAAAAAGAGGCGGAGAAGAAAAAGAACGAGGAACAATTTGCATTGAAATCAAGAAACTAACCTCACATGAAAGAGATTATGAACCTCAGCAGGCGAGATATATTGCTCGAGAGCGCATAGGAAAGCCTTATACGAAAGGAGGTGAAGCCCGTCGATCCTCGGAAACGGAAGCCTCGGCCGCGGCTTCGAGACCCCGCAAAACACCGCCGGAGATATCGAAGATGGCGGCGAAGGACCAAAACAGTACTCCTTCCACTGCATCGCGGCTGTGGGTTGCTGCTCTTTCGAGAGGGAAACAAAGCCGATGGAAGCCATGATGGGCTCCAGATCATCGTGGGTAATGATGGGGCGAAAGGTCGGCGTGTGCCACAGCGCGAGCTTCTTCGCCACGTCTTGCATCGCGATCTTCATGATGAGGCGGACGATGAGGAGTCGACGGAGATAGGGGTAGGGTTTATCGTTGGTGGTTCCCGGGAATAGGGTTTCGGGGGTTAGGGTTATGGGGTTTGGGTAATGGCTCGTGACGTGGATTCTGGTTGTTTCTCTCTCGAGGATTTGAGGGAAGGATGGAAGGGGAATAGAATAAGGAGGGAAACGCTCCGGGATTTGGGAATATAATGACGAAAATAGCCCTCTTTGGCTTAAGGACTCCTTTATTTGGGGCGTATCTTTTACTTGAATTTTGAAATTGAAAGGCCGATTCTAGAAACTTGTGTTTGGAATTTGGGTAAAAAAATTCTTTTTTTATTTATTAAAATATAAAGTATTATATTTTAATATGTAGAATTGTTGTTTTTTTTTTAATAGATTTTTTAGACAATATTTTGGCTTTTTATTAAAATCTCATGCACTCTTATCGTATGGCTAAGGAATGACCTTAAACTTGTTGGATGAAAGAGGCGCATATTTTGATCATAAATTTGTTGAAGATAAAGTTTAAACAATCTCAAAATTGATTTATAAAATTTGTAGTTTTACAACAATGTTTGTTTTTCATCAGATGGATTTTCTAATATGTATTGATTTAATTTTTAGTTTGTTTTATTAAAAAATTCGTGTGTTGAGTCATGATTTGTCAGGAATAGAGCGTAAGAAAGAAAAAAAGAAGAAACATATGACAAATAGAGTGCATTACAGTTATTTTTTTTCATTATGTTGTCCTTATTTAATTAGGGGCATTACAGATCAGTTCTACTTTCTTTGAGGCATTTTCATAATTTGCGTCTTTCCAAATTTATAATTGATATTGATGTCATTTCGCATTCATAACTGACTTTAACAATTTTTTGCATTAGTAACCGATATTGACAACATTCTATGGGTCTATGTATTTCAATCGGCGGGCCTTTGGTCTGGTCGACTTAACTGATTTGTGTTGGTTTGAGTCGTATAAGTATCGATCAACCTTTGCTATAGGAAACCAAGTGTCTTACAAATGGCAATTGGTTGGCCCTGAGACAATCAGTATGGATGTCTGTGGTTTGTGTGGCCCTTCAGTAGTAGGATAGTCTTTTAGCCAATCGGTCATCCTTCGTCTGCTGATGGTCTTTGACTGATCAACTTCAAGAGCCCTAAAATATTTTGTCAGGTTGTAACATTTCTTCTTTTCTATTCTAGACTATCTGATTTTCTTGTGATTCATGAAAATAAGTTTTCTACATGTATATTTGTTTTCCAATTCTCTTGATCTTTGAAAGCTATATTACGACAAGAATAAGAGAATCTTTATGATGAACACTTTCAATTATAATCTCAATGACTTGATAATTTAATAATTACTCCCTGTATTTCTATGGTTGTGTCCCCTATAATAGGGTCAATAGGGTCTTCTTCTTTACTTCCCTTTCAATGAACTCCAAACGACACCATGTCTGGTGCGAAAGCTCAAAGTAAGGATGTGCTCCTTATGGTTCTTGAAGAGTTGAGTACTCCACCTTCTCCTACGAGTGGAACACTAAGGAAGAAATTAGCCATGAAGAGGAAGAGGGAGGACCTTGAACTTGGTTCGCGTGACCAAGTGGCATTGTCAGAAATCCTGTTAATCATCGACAGAAGAATGTCTTGAGGGATGATAAAACTATACAGGATGTCCTAGCAGTTGAGGAGTAGGCACCACCGGTCAACGTTGATGGTTTCGGGGCTAAGGGTGCTTTCAAGACGATTGATAACATTTATAGCGGTAGTGGTGCAATTGCAGCCAGAGTTATGAGTAGAAGATATTACTTTGGCTATAACATGCAAGGAGGAAACACCGATAACCTTTGCTCCGTTAAGTATCAAAGTCACTCCGGTTGAGGATTCTAGGACAGAAAAATCTGAGCTAAATGGAGACTGTCGACACCCGATCGGTGACAACGGTAAACAAACGACAAATTTTTAGGTGCTTTTTGAGAGATAAGCAAAGGACGCCCAGTGTCTTCATGGTTATTCGAATGTAGGATGGATGAGGCAGCCAACTGCTTGTTTCGGATAGTTGATGATCCTGATGATGGAACAATGTGGGAGCTGGTGACAGCGAATGAAAGGGGAAATCGCTCTGGTGAATGGTGAGATGATGACTTTTCGAGCCGAGCTGTTGATCACTCAAGAGTCGGCCGCCATGAATCAAATCCAAAATGACATCAATTGGGTAGACTGATTTAGGTTAGAGGGAGAACATGCACTTAAGAAGCTACTTTAGTGAGGATATGTCTCAGTTGAAGTGGTGAAAGACTTTTTTTTATGAAGTGTTATGTTTCCAACTAATCTATTGTAATTTTTTTTAATTTTTGGAAATAAAAAATTTTATTTTTCATCAAAATCATACTTGATGTCAGGTGTAACCTTTGTTGGTTGGCTTTTTAAGGTGCCAAGGTATTGAGGTGCTTCAAATTTCACCCCTAATCTCTATAATAGGTTTGGACGTGGAAGTAATGTTGTGCTGCTCCCTTCTCTTAGGGGTTTATCTCTTATCCTTTATTTTTCTTCTTTTGCAATGGCTCCTAATTCTCTCCCAAGCTCTTCAGAATGATTCTTACGAGCAAATCATCTTGCTTAACTGTAGAGGACATGGTTAGGCTCGAGGTTGACTATGTTTTCAACTCCACCATGAAACTCCATGCAATGAGGGTGACAAATTGCTCTGGGAAGGACTTAGTGTTCTACCAAGACCAATTCCACTGCAGACTTTATTTATTGCTTTGCACGGAGTTGTGAGCTATCTTCAACTGTTACGGGTCATCCTCGCACAAATTTTGCCTAGCTCAATAGTGGCCATAATGAACTATGTGGTTTTTTATCACAAAGTAAAAATTTCTTAGTCGAATGATCATTTCAGCTACATGTTCGCATTCAGGGTCAGCCAGGATGGTATAACATAGTTTTTGACAAGTTGCCAATTTCAATTATTGCGCCTTGGGAACAAAATAAAGAACTGAAAAAATACAATTTCTACTCATATCATATTCAAGTTAGTGGGGAGTCACAGTGGTCTCCTCGGATGTGACGGAGGACAAGGTTAAGACCTTGCCGAGGCATTTGGTCATCGAAACTGCTAGGATCAAAGGCTAGCATGTTTCAGTCCCCCGATATACAGACACTCAGGTATCATTGATTTGGTTCTTTGACCGAAAAAAAAATTCAGTATCATGACTAAGGAGCCATGGGAGGTGTCAGTCGTCAGAGAAGTTGAGTGGGAAAAAGCGATCAAGGTGCAGGCTACTGGAAGTAAACCTCAGGCAAAGTTTGCCAAGTTGACGGTCGGGTTGGCCAGGGGCCAATATACTAGAGGGATTGCAGTAATTGGTACAGATACCATAGTTGCAGTGTTTATTGTTTCTACTTCTAATCCCTCTGTCATAATTCAATGAATTTTGATTGGATTACTACCATTGCTAGAAAAGTTGATTTCTTAGATGTAGAGGTTTTGACTATTAGAAATGTTAGGTATCCGAGTATCTCTAAAGGAACGCTCTCATCCCAACAGCCTTCTTGGGATGAAATGATCCAACGAGGGGGAAAGGCAGAAGTTCTAGATAAGTTATGACCATAGATACACTCTCATTGACACAAACAAGGATTGGTTCTCAGCTTCTCTTAAGGTGAAGCATATCTCTAAGTTGCTTACCGATGTAATGTGGTCCGACAAGTTTGACAAGACTTTGAAGTAACTCGATCAACATTCCATCCACTTTCATTTGATCAATAAAATCTCCTAAAAAATTAACAATGACAAATGATGTTTGATCAGAAGATTGCCCAAGATCCAACCCAAAATGCTCAAGCTCTGACAAAAAGATTCCCTATCCATTAGCTACAGTTTCTGTGTGGGTGGCGTATGAATCAACCCAGCAATGAGTCTAGATGATTGCCCCCACAAAGACTGCATCAAGATCCTCTTAATATGTACCAAGGTGACCCATTCATGTAATTGATATATGGGTGGTTTAAGAATTGAATCGGCTGATAACTCGGTGAACTGGTCATTAATGTTCTTAACTTACCAATTGATCAATCCTCATTGTCGAACACTCATCATAATGTAAAATATTCAATACGAGATTACAAAAAGAAAAATAATATATATAGTAAAGATAAAATACAAAAGCAAAGGTTTGAGCTAACAAAAAAAAAATATTTCTCATTCATAATAAAAATGTGCCTTACAAATATTTTAACATCATTTTCATAAGGATAGCATTTGGCATTTCGATCGAGACATATCCTAGCTTAAGCAGTTTTCTATATAAGAACTCCGCTCCAAACCTAAACTAACTCAACTAATCTGACTTAACTTGATCATGGAAAATTCGGGATTTCTCCCAAACATCTTTTAGCTCACGGGGAAAAGTCACCACCACCTTTTTCATCTTCTTTACCTTCTCCACATGAGTTGATCGCTCGCACGTGTGCTATTCATGTTGTATCCCTACCGACCAATCAAAGGAGCTCTCAATTTCATCCAAATGACGGGGAAGTGCCCAAGGGACATCCTGAGTTGGTCATATGTTTCCCCATATCCTTCAAGAAGGACGTGAAGCTGATGATCCCTGCCATCCTTGCTTGAGAGTCGCTCCCTTCAACTGGCACGCGGTCTGTTATCACCTGATTGGTTTCTCACTTACACCAATTAGAGCGGGAACAACATCTAGGATTGCAAAAGTTGATTCATCTGCACCAAGAAACATCATACAACAAAAAAGACTTCAGAAAAAGATCAAATCACACGAAAAGATCTGACGTCTCTCTCTCAGGAGCCGATTCCACTAAGCTGTCGTAATTGACGTAGCACCCTCACCATAAAGCGTCGTTGAAAGTTCTTGAGTGACCGGGTCAATCGTGGGGCCTTGTGTCACGACAGAAGGTTAGATTGTCAGATCAAAGATTGAGTTGGCCAGTTGAACACTTTCTAGCTAAGTGTTGAGGATAAAATCAGACAACACCACCTGATCTGACATTCAAAGTATAAATTTCTTCTTCTTCAAACATCTTTCTTTCTCCTCTCACCCTTCAGGGGATTTTGACCCTTCCGTTTCTCGAAGGCGAAGTAAATCTGATTCTTGTTGGGAACGTCACCGTAGGGTTTCAACAAGTTCTCCATTGCAACATATGGAAGCTGACTAACTCGAATGAGGAAAAATGTGGAAGCAAATTAGAAATGGGAAGGACCCCATCACATCCCATT